TTTTTTCGAACTGTGTATGAAACAATAATAACAATATAATCTGTGCGAGAAGAAGAAAATAAATACCTACTGTATGAACCGGTATCAACGTGATCGTACCTATATCGTGGTGCTGCGAATAGAAACGAATACAGTACTATTGTATGTATGTAGGTGGGCACAACAAAACGAAAACCTTAACATATTATTATAGTGTCGATTCGGACACACGGCCACAATAAATGAAAATGGACGATTTACTGAAAAATACATGTATATCTATATTTATTAGTCCCAGTCACCACGAATAAAATCAAAGGACGTAATAAAACCGTATTGTTTTTCGTAAATGTTCAAAAAGAAACGAAAACCGTATACAATGCCGTGTCCTATGCACAACGACTTCGTGCACGGGAATATTAAATTTACCTAGCCAGGTATCTACCGCCGCTGCGAGTTTACGATTATTGTATTGAAAACGTACGATATTAGTGTTATTTTTTAACGTACCTTTGCACACTCGTAATAAACTATTAGATTCTTATCAGAAATATATGAAGATCGGTTTAATAACGATTTTGGTTTTTCGTATTCTTATAAATACGGATATGTCGATCGACGGTAGTTTATTTGAATATTAATTTTTTTATAGAGTATCAACTGCAGTTATTCAAAATTTAAAACTAAAAAAAAAAACAAACAATGCAACAGAGTTTTGTCGATAAAATCAAATTTTCCACTAGCCGATTTTTCGCCGTTCAAATATTTCACATTTCTTTTTTTAACTAAATCAATCAAAATTATAGTTATGATTCCTTGAGTTTTATTACATTTAAGTCTGTAGGATATCCAAAAAAAAAACATGTATTTACAGTGAAAAAGTGAGTAAAAAAACGGCTGGGGATGAGGTTTGAAAGTGAAAACTCCAAAAGACTCGTCCTTGATACTTATACTATTCATATAAAAAATGCTATTATCCCGGCTTCATTTGGAGAGGATGATTTTTGTATGAAAATCGTTAAAAAAAAACACTCCCTTCACGCAATAACGTGGTAAAATTCATGTTGAAACCAACATTTTATTATATAAACTATTAAACCGCCTAAAAGACGGCTATGATTTCTACGTTTGAGTTAATTCAGCACAGAGGAGCTTCCAAAAGTGTCCAAAACTAGCGAGAAAAATATTTGTGTACAACAAGCATAATAGATATTATAAATGCGAAAGTTTGTGTGTGTGTGTGTGTGTACGTTTGTGACCGCTCGGATCCAAAACAGTTGAAGGGATTTTTATGAAATTAGGCAGTATTTATCTCATTTTGTAAAAGGACAAGTAAATGATCAATTCATAAGCATTTCGTGTATTCAAATTATAGTTTTTGGTTTTTTTTAAGTACAGTCAAAGCTGATATTTTCAAATACTTAGATTTTTCATAACATTTAAGGAGTATCTTCTGGTGATACGGACTTTGGTATTTCAAATGAGAACATGCATGGTTTAATACAAATTGTAAAACAGATGATTTTTTTTTTTTGAAAATGTTGACGTGTTGTAAACGATATTTGAACAAAAAGTTAATCTACTTTTAAACGCTAAGGTCTAAAAAGCATAATTTTTGTGGTGGCACGGTAAGCGGCGCTTATACAATTGTCTTCTACGCTTCACTGAAAAAAGTCCCAGTGAACAATATATTTTAATCGCTTGATATATTTCTCCAGCAATTTAGTATTTTTTAAATAATTCGTATACACAATTAACACAGTTTTATCCAAAAACCAGTGGCGTATTTATGGGACATATGGGGTCATTGCTGTAGATGACAAAATTTAAATTATTTTAGGTGGTGATTTTTAAGGGAAGAGGAACCAAGATTGTGATAAGAAGTATAAGGAAAATATTTTATCTACGAGTACCGATTTAAATGTGGGGGAGAAATAATTTTGTATTGTTCCGGGTATTCTTATCGTAGATATGCCATTGCAGTGATAAATTTGTGTTCAGGATAGTTATGATTATTTTACTGAGTCTAGAAAACGGAAAAACAAATTGGTTTTTTTTTAATTGTGACCTAAGTAAAATATTTATATTCGAATTTATCTTGTGCAAACCGACAAACTGGCGCATTTCAATATTCACCGTCACCTATATATATATACAGAATGATTCAATAAGTGTGTTCACCCCATTTTATTTTGGTTAAATTTTGCATGTATTCAAATTTTGGGTTTTTGAATGTTTAGGTCTATTTAAAACAAATATTTTCGAATAGTTAGATTTTTCACAACGATTAAGGAGTATCCTGTGGTGGTACCAACTTTGGTTTTTTAACCTATATTTAAAATTCAATAAATATTACTTGAACACATTTTGGTGCCAAAATGTTTGACCCGTTAATGGGATATTCCATTTTTAAGTTTAGATAGGGGGAGAGTAGTGAAGTATCATTTGTGTGGCGGCACGAAGCGCGGCGTTTTATTAGTGCTCCACTGCTCTACAGAAATAAAATTAAATAGAAAATTAGTATAGCATATATGATGGACGAATGGAGTGATGAGAAAATAGACTAAGACTGTTTGGGCATTTTTGGAAAACTGAAACAGAGTTGGTTGGGTGCAATTTAGAATGATATCAGGACAGCCAGTGTGTGCAAGGTGGGTGATTGGTTTAAGTGGGTGTTTCGGTAACGAGAACGGCCCATCCAAAATAGTTTAGACAATGGCGAAGGAAAAGAAGAATATTTTTTATTATACGATATTTGAAACTTCGTTAAAATTATATATAGATATATATGGATGTGTAATTATACTATAGGATGTACACTGCAGGATAAATTAAAGCGGTGTTAATAATATAACCACATTCAAATTGGATATTATCGGTTTTATTAGCAACAAATCCGAAGGAAGTAGATACAAAATTGTCCACCGAGCGTGAAACTTTAGTACCTATACGGTTTTCTTCCGCTTATAGAATTTGTTCATGCATTTCGTCTTTATATATATTTTTTTTATTTTTTTTTTTTAGCTGATCAGTTATTTTTTGGCACATTAAAAATTGATTTATACCATTGTTGATGTTGTGTATATATATGTTATAATATATGGATATCAAAGTATTATATATTATTTTGTTAGTCTTTTTTTTTATCGATTTCCGTCCTGTTAAAATTACTTTACCGTGAATTATTATCATCACGGTTTATTCTTTACGGTCATCATTATTTTATAAGTCTATAAATTATTGTTGTTACGAAACTATATTATTACCTATCTGTTTTGTATAGACTTTTACAAGGTGATTTAAACGTAATATATTTTCTTATCTTATTTTCATTATATTTGTCGTATTCGATGTATTTATATTGATTCTATTGATTTTAGTCAATCGAAAGAAGAAAAATAAGTACCGAGTTTAATACACGTTCAGTAATTAGTTGTTTTATAGTTATAGACGACTAAATTGGCAATAATTTAAATGTTAATTTGAAAATGTAATCCTAACGTATTAAATATTAAGTTAATTTCTTGGGAGTTTGCTATGTTCATGGTGAAAACGAACAAGCTCAGGGTTCGGGTGTTTTTGAAAATAAGGATGATCAACATATGGTATATTATATTGAAACAACAAACAATTTAACCTCTTTAGTTGTTAATTAAAATAAAAACAATATCGATACCCAGTTTATTTTTATTATTTTTGATATTAACAATCGACGTTATACAAAATTGTTGGCCTATTCAAAACATATTATGATAATATAATATTGTAAAAATATATAAAAGGTACCCATAATGTGGCTCATGAATGACAAAAGATGGTTTTTTGGAGTATCAGCTAGCCATTGATACGCGATTTTTGCTTCAATAGCGTATTGTACAATATTTTGGGTAGGGAATATTAATAATAGCAGCCATTGAGAAAAAAAATGTGTATGTATGAGCATTAAGCATTCTTACAAGGGCAAAAAAAAAAAGGTTTACCGTGTCGTCCGTGAAAGGCGTTTGATTCTTATATAATGCATCGATAGGTAGATACATCTAATACATATTTGATATTTTTTTTTATAAATTGAGCATAGTTTAGTATTGAGTATGAAACACGTGTGTCATAAAAAAAAAAAAAGAAAAGATTTTTAGTGCATTTACAGTTTACGGTTATTAATAATTCCAGATAGTGGGAGGATTGAGATCATGATAATATTATATTAGATCAACAAACATCATATGTTTTTGCTGAGTGTGCGAATATGTCTTCAGATAATAAATATGAACATTGCATGTTACTTCTATCCTCAGTATCGGCGAAGTTTATGAACGTTTTCTACTACAATTATTAATACGTAGGTCTGAACATTGTTTAACGAACGGTATTATTATTACTTTTTTTTTTGAAAATAATATATACTTAATCTAAAATGTAGAATTAAATACAAAATATTATATTTAATCTCCGATTCCCTTACTGATATTTTTTTTAACATACCTGATAGTGTTGCAATGAACTTCAAGTTCAAATTATTAGAAGTAATCCGAGACGAGCGCTCAAAGACCACCGTTTAAGATAGAATGTACCGAAAACTATAAGGTGTGCAAGTGACTGAATGATGGACAACAAACATTTTGCCTGTTATACCACAGCAAACCGACACTGTAGATGTAGCCTAATCACCGATTTACGGAGGGGAAGGGCGGTGTGCAGTTATTAGATATTATAATAGGGTTGACGAATAGCACCATTATTTGTATACGATTATACGAGGTGTGGCTATTAAATAACGAGACTGGTTACGAAAAAGTGTACTACCCTCCCCTCGCCACACACCGTTTCATTAGTTTCTTCCATTGCTCGAGGCAGTGCTGGGAGTCTGTTTTCGTAAGACTATTCAGGAGTTCCGCCGATTTTTGTTTCACCTCTTCCATCGACTCAAACCGGACTCCTTTTAAGGCAGACTTTATCTTCGGAAACAAGTAAAAGTCGCAGGGTGCCAAGTCGGGTGAGTAAGACGCGTGTTCGAGTACTGGAGTGCCTTAAGCGGCCAAATAACGCTTCACGCTTTATCCTGGTGCAAGATCCACGACTTGTTTTTCCACAATATCGACCGTTTCTTACGAACTCATTCGCGCAATGTTGCCAAAACTGTCAAATAGTAATGTTGGTTCACAGTTTGACCCTCTGGAACCCATTCAGTCATCACGATGCCGTTGATATCGAAGAAAACGGTTTTGAATTTGGATTACGACTGAATTGGATTCCGGTGCACTCTCGACCTTCAGAAAATAATTTATGCCACNTTTTAACAACTTATAGCACTCAGTTGGAGTTTTTTTTAGTTTAACGAGAAAATTTTACGTTTATCCGTTGCTCATGTTTTTCGTCACACATGGTTTTCGGCACGAGAGAAAAACACGTTCGTTTCAAACCACTACTGCACAAATACTATAATAGTGACGAAAACGTGTTTTGGTACGTGCATAGATAAGATATCTAGATATCCAACGCATTACTCGTTTTTTTCACTACCCATCTAGGGCGCCCTCTAGGCGAGCAGTCTCGTTGTTTAATAGCCACACCTCGTATGTATACCATTATTTGTACCTACTGTAATAAGTAGCAGTGGCGCAACTAGGATTTTTTGAGGAGGGAGATGTTCGCCTTACATTACCGAATAAATAGTACATTTTTTTTATTTTCATTGGCCGTTGAAATTTTCATAAATATGGTTTAGGAGGGCAGAGATGGAGTATAACTAACACTCCCTCGATTGCGCCACTAGTAAATTGTAATTAAAGTTTTGAGTTTATCGAATTATAGTCCACGAGACATATAAACTTAATACAACACCGGTGCATTGAGTTTTTGTATCCATAATCTACAATAGTATACATTACAATTTTATTTAACTGTATACATTTTTTTTTTTTTGTGCATTATATACAATTATTTGAACACTGTCTATTTCAATTTACCTTGTCGCTTGTATTGTATTATTATATTGTGTTGTATTTCAATTTGTCATAATGGTTTAAGAACTTTTCGTATTGTAGTTAGGTTTATATACAGGCAAAAAGTCAGACTGAATATATATTATTGAAATGTATTGTATTTTTTATGGTATTTCGGTGTAATGAATTTTAGGTTTTGACTTGTTTCATTTTTTTTTTCGAACAAATATAAATAAACAACAAATACACAGACGAAAATTCGTATGATAATAATATCGTAACAAAAAAAAAAATGCTCAACTGTACGCAAAGTAAACTTGTTGACCTAATTAGAAATTATACTATTCCACTTAAAATAATGGTAGTCATAAAAGCGGCATCTCAAGCCTGTTATAAATTTTCCTCTTGCGACGGATCAGTGCTCCTGGAGAAAGAAAAAGGTTATTATTGTTGTTTCATTCGGATTTCTCGTCCATGACGTGACTGTTCACTTTGTGAGCTGTTATCGTGTACTTATGCTCGTTTTATTTCATTCGCGGTCGCTGGCAACTCACTATGCCGCAGCGCAGTATTTGATAACAGCGCCACATATTTAGTCCGTTATCTACGGTCGGATGATCGCGTTTGTTCGAAACTTTCGCCGTCATATTATTATTTCCTTTTCGAAATTTGACGCTCCTTATAGAAAATCGCGCACTTTTATTTGCCTACTTTTTTTTTCATTTCTTACCTTTTTTTCATTGTTTGGAAATTTGTTTGTATACGCGTTCCTACCCTGAAACGTGCCACACCAGCACGTGCGATCCAGCACGTGTCGTGACAAGTACCTACCCATGTGCACTTCTATACCGTTAGATATCTACGTGTATATATATATATATATACAATAAAAAACATAAACTCAAACAATCCCACGTGTTCCGTTATAACGCCGTTGTGTATTATTAATTTATCGTCGGGACTTTTACGTTTTGTAAATATTTTATTCGTGCGGGGGGGCAATAGACGCGCGTTTGTGTAAGGCGAACTGCGGAAAGTCTCGAGAACATAACGTTCCCGCATACCTCCGGATTGTTGTTAAATATTTATAAATTAGCGATATAATATTTATTTCGGGTATTGGTATACCTGTGTATCTCTCGTTTGAGCGATTTCTAATCCGCACTGTGTATACACAATGTGCGGTGGGCGGGGGACATTCGGTATAATATTATCGTTGTTATAGATCGACATCACGGCCTTGTGAAAAACTATACGCACCGGTTAGGTATCTGTAAAAGCAATTTCAGCCCGTTTTGTTATTCTGTCGAGAAACGTATAAAACGCGTTTCATTCGACGGGACGAAATTCCCATCCTAACCCCCGCAGGACTCGTATTGCGTTAAGTCGACCGTTACCTGCAGCGGTACTCGCGGATGGGTGACCGACCGGATATTTAACGTGGACTGTCGTTTGCTCTTCGCGTTATAATATATAGATGCGGCGGCGTAATTGTCCAACTACGAGTTTTAAAGAGTTTTATAAAATAAAAATATATATATATATGTATATGTAGAAAAAAAAATAATAATCCAGAGAACGGCACGGCATCAATTTCGTTAATTAAAAATATTTTAATTTCTTTTATCGTTTTCGAACGACGGAATTGGAATTAAATAGAAATGAATGTATATAATATATAAAATATTATATACATTAGAGAAAACGGAGACATCTGATGATCGGTGTTCGGATGTTGTATTCGTTTTCTTAATTTTTCCCCTACTGATCCAACATGAAACTGCATCGTTTATAAGTTCTTTTCATACCCTATTATTCATAACAATTGAATCGTTCATTTTTTAGAATTTTCGGTGATTTTTTTAGGTATTTCACTGCTCTATTGCTTTCTTTCGAGTGCTCTTTTTTTTCTATGTTTTATTGGCTTACAACATCCGAACTATAGTATCGATAAAATAGATAAATCGCTCCGTGGTCAAATTATAAATGTACAGATACAATTTTTCGATTTTTAATTATCTTTTAAGATTGAATAATCTACACAGTAATCGTACGCACGTGTAAATGTAAGATTATTTGTTTTTCTCGTGCCGTAAAACGATACAACGATGTATGCCATTTTCAACTCGAAAATACTGAAGTTTTGAAATGGAACTAAGTGATGCTCGAAAAATAAAGAAATACATCCCCAGGGGCGCCGAAAATCTTAATCCGGCTCCCCCGAGAACGTCGTTCAGTAAACGATCGACCGCGTACTCTTGTTAATTTTCTGTTCTATTTATTTTTTTTATCGGACAGGCGTATATCGGGGATATTTTTTGATATTTTTTACTGTGCTTTTATGATATAGAAGAAAATCGAAAAATAAAACGTCGGGAAAACGAAAATATTTACGCAACGTTCGCTGGTATATATCAAAATCGATTTTGTTTTTCTCCGCTATAATCCCGTGAGAAATAATAAACGTGAACAATATCGAATTGTTTAAACTCCTACATCAGTTTACGTCCATTAAAAGGTCATGGGTAGATTTGAAACAAATAACCTGAAAATTCGGAGGAGGTGCCGGAGCTTCCGAAGCCGCACCTCCAAAAAATACGCTCCTTCCGTATGTATTTTTTGCATAGGGTGTTTTTTTAAGGAGTTTCCCCGTGTCAAAACGGACACACCGTAGAATGAAATTTCGCTAACTGTATTGTCCTAGAAAATAAATAGTATAAGTAAACTGATGAATTAAAAGATCTATTGAACCAATATATAATATATTTTTATAAAAAAAAAAAAAGAAGTAATTCTTACTGGTGGACGGCGGGATACACGGGAAAAGTCCAAAAATTAAGGGAAACGTTCGGTCTATCTGTTAGTAGAGATTTTCCAAGTGATAAACCGTGCAAATTTCGCGAAAAACGTCCGCTGACTTCAAAACTACCGTTGGCTCCGCTCAGAATTAAACAGTTTTGTAAACAATTAATTTGTACGAATTGACTGTGGGCACGTTAAAAACGTATACATTGTAATAAATGATAATTTATTCAAATTGACCGACGAACAAATTATTCGGGCGCGGACCGGTTAATAATCGGCAATTATTATTTACGTAAATGTTCAAAATATTATTATTATCCAAATAATAATATTATTGTTCGAATTCCGTTCGGTTTGTTTATACTCGGGTTTAAATCGGTAAGGCTATAAACGGCGTTTGTGCAGTTATAATAATATGTTTCACTGGATAAAGAGCGTTTCTCTGTGGCGTGTTTCTAACCTTTTGCATGGGTATTGTTAATAAAACCGAATTTAATACGCCACAGTTTTAATTTTTCAAGTGATTTTGATAACAATTAGAAACAACCGGAAAAAAACGTCAAGCAACGGATAAATATGTATGGCTTTAACGTTTCGTTATATTAAATGTTTAGGATTTTTGTATCCTACCGTAATTCCCGTTCCGAGAATTACATCTGTTTTAGCACGGAAAATGTTGTCTAGTCGATACATAAGCGGGTCGTGTTCCGTGTAATTTTCGTCATAGTCGGAACTAACCGGCTAAAAGGTGTAAGAAAACCGGGAGAGTTGACGGCATTACAAGTTTCGTTATTTTCGATTTTGTTCTTTGTGGTAATTCTGTTGAAAAATAACCGCACTGACACGAAATTTTCGTAAAATATTCATGTTTACCTTTTTTAGACGTAACAATTTTTTTCAAAACGCTTCGGCCGTTTTTTTTCTATAGCTAGAAACGTTCATCTTAATACAGATTTTTTTTAATACAAAAAATTTAAAATCCACGGCGTTTCAGAACAATGTATTCAACGAATTCCGTGTATTTCAGAACACGTCGCCCGGCTCAGAGTCGTTTGTCGCTAGCAATAGTTTACACGTGCAATTTCAGTGACTACGTATCGCAATATATCTTGTGTCAACTATTCGTTTGTCGCGTTCTTTGAACTTTCCCGTCCGCGGTCGCGTGCGTATAGTCGAATTTATATGTCCTATCACTTTTCATCCCTACACGCGGCGTGTAGGTGCGCGACGTCCGTGCAACAATTAACAAAGTGCCTCCTTGTCCGCCGGTACGGAAGTCGCGGCGGGAAAGGGCAAATCCGAGCGCGCGTATACCGCGCGGGACCGCCGCCGGAAAACGGTAAATTATTTATCTGTTTATCATAATTATTATTCGTTTGTTTGTTTTTGTTTTTCTTTCGAGGCGAGTCATATAGGTCGGGTTTAGGGCGGCGGCAGTGTTTAAAAATATTTGGACGGGGCGGGATGGCGCGCGGTCAAGGAGGGGTGACTACGGTGGCGGTGGCCGCGTCGAGCGCGGGAAGAGGGCCCACCGATACCGCCCCCCCCCACCCGCCCCGCCCGCGTCGGTGGAGTAGGCGACGCACTGAGCTTGCGCTACCGGACGACTAATGCGTGCGTGCGCGTGCGCGCGTCTGCCCGTGTGTACTCGTGTATTTACGTTTGTGTGTGTGTGTGTGTGTGGTGTCGCGGTCACGTCCACGTGCCCTTCCCCCGCTCCATCCTCGCCGTACACACAGACACACACACGCACAACAGGCACACGCGCACGCACATAGAGTCTGTGTGCTCCCTCGCGGCAAATAGCGTTAGTTCGCGTTCTGCCGAACAGCCGTGCGATCGTCCGCCGCTTCGTCCGTCTCGCCGTTCGGTGGTCGCGCGTCTACAACAATAGTCGTGTTCGTAAGACGTTGTCGCGATACAATAATTGTAATAAAACATAGTGTATGCTGGCAGTTCGCCGCCGTCGGAGTAGGTCGACCGCGGATCGGCGACCGTTTCGGGACGAGCGCGTGATCGTCGGCACCACCGTGCCCGTAGTTAGTGCCGGGAGAGCGTTCCGTGGACACTCGACACCGCGGTCCGCGGACGCACGTGACACCCCGGCGAGTCCATAAACCGAGTGCGTGCGGGCCGTGCGGTCGCGTCGCGCCATGCCGTCGACATGCGTCCAGGACCGGCGGCGACGACTGGCGCAACGGCATCACCGGCAACCGCGGACGCGCCAGCAGCACGGGTCCCGGTGGTAGCGGCCGAAGTCGGTGGTCGGCGGAGGTGGTGGCGGTGGGCCACGTGACCACGTCGCGGCCGTTCGGCGGGTGATTCCGGCGAGCGTGGGGTCCCGGCCACGCCGACGACGGGCCCCCCCCCTATCCCCCCCGATTGTATATTTGCGTGCACGCGGATCGCAAACGCCCGCATGACGACTGGACACGCCGCCGGCGCGGTGAAGAGATCGTTCGGTGCTACAACGAGGTCAGTACGAGTCGGCGAGTCCGACGTTTTCCCCGTCGAAATCGTACCGCAATACTAGTGACACGATAACCCGCCCCCGGGCGTCTCGAATTTACGCGAAAAGTGAAAAAAAAATACAAATACAAATACAAATACAAAACGAACTCGGCTGCGGCACGCGGCGATAATGGTAATAATAACGGTAACGACCGATATAATATTATTATTAATGTACGGCGAATACGCGTATCGCGCGCATTCCAATTAGGACGGGTGTCGTAAATTATGACCGGTGCGCGCCGCGTCCCACGACAGCCCGCCGCCGCATTACGGTGTACACTGGTGTCACCCGACACCGGCCGTTCCGCGGAAAGTATACGGCCGGGACGACGGGGCGGGTAAGAGGGGCAGTGGCGTGACGGGCGGGGGTTGGGTGGGGGTGGTTGGGTTGGTTGACGTTAATTTATCGTCGTCGTAATGAGTCAGAAATCAAAATTAGCTAAACTCGCGCGGGGCTCTTCTGCCGTCCGCCGTGCACGCCGAGCGACGGCCGCGAACAACGTACGGCGGCGCCAAACGATATTATTATTTCGTCGAGATTCGCGCGATTTCCCGTGCGGCCTTCACCTAAAAAATTCGGACGCCAAGCCGTCGTCGTCTATTAAACGCACATTGTCATCTCGGTCGGCGACCGCTCTTGTTCGGCATAGACGAGCGGCCGCCGCCGCCGTTACTATCGTTGTTGCTGTTGTTGTTGTTGTTGTTGTTGTTTTTCAGGTGCGCCGCCGCTCTCGAGTGGAGATCCACTCGATAATCCACTCGCGTATACGTTACACGCGCGCGCACACACACACACACACACACACATACCGCGTGCGTGACCGTTAAAACGTTACCTACGACGAACGACAATTCTAATCGCAAACGTTTACGTTTCCGTAAAATCGCGCTGCGCCCGCGGCCGCGACGATACGATTAGGCGACCGTTGACGCGCGTACGGTGTCCCGCGAGTCGAGCGTTATCCGATGTTGATAATAGTAATAACGATAATAATGATAACATTCAAATTGATTTCGCGCGCGGTTCGGAAACGATAGGCAGTCGCGGTTGTCGGGTTCCGTTTACCGCCCGGCGACTTGGCGATCGCGGTGCTTGTAGCGGTCACGGACTGCGCCCGTCCTCCGGTTCGGTCACACGCGGTTTTATACGGACAATCGCGACGATTGCGTGCGATCGGTTGAAATTCTAAGACACGTGCTCGTAGGTACGCCGGACCCGGAGGAACTGTGTTGCGGATCATCATTAAACGTATTCCAAAACTAAATTTCAATTGAAATTCAATTTTTTTTTTTTATCTGTGCGCAACTTTTTTATCAGAAAATTTACTCGGCGTGTAGTAATTTTTCTAAAAGAAAATCGGCGTGGGGAAGTACTTTAAGGAGGTCATTTCTCGATTTGCTCAAGAGTTCTTTCAATTGTGAAAAACCAAAAAAAAAAAAAAAAAACTGGAAAATATAAGAAATTTAGGTATAAGTTAAAATATATTACGCTTTCAATTTTTCTACCAGTTATTTTATACCATTTTGTAATGATAGCAATGTTTCTGAAAGAAAATATCACCAGTAATGTACTTAAGAGTGGTTATTTTTGATTTTCCCAAAGATTTTCCCAGCAAATGTGAAAAACCAGGAAAAAACGTAGGAAAATTGGGAATATCGATGGAACATTAAATAAATATTTTAAAAAAGAAATGTATGAAGCTTATTTTATTTTTTTTTTTATAAAATGGCATATTTATATATATATAGTGTTGACAAAGTATCACTATCAACTAAACTCCGCTCAGAATCGTTTTTTCGTAAACATCGATAATTGCTTACAGATATATATTAAATTCCCGTATGTATCCTACCTTCCCGACTTCCCACCTGCATCAGTGGCTACACCCGACCGCATTATCTTACCTTTTTTTCAATTATTTTTTAATTAGTATGGCTTTTTTTTAGCCTTTAAGGAGAATAATTTAAAAAAGTGGGAAAATCGATCTCAAGTAGACTTTATGACAAATTTAAATCTGTTTTCTGAATTCTTATCGCTTTACTAGATCAATAGGTGTGTTGGAATTAAAACAAGTCTAATATCTCACGTGTGTAAGACAAAGATAGAAACTCGTCGCTTCCAATCCCCTTAACGATAATATTGAAGACTGATATCGGCACAAGATAATTGATAACACTGCAATTGTAAAAAATAGATTAGTATAATATTAATAGGCGCGGGGAAAAAAGTAATCGATTTTAAGATTTCGCAAACAAAGTTTAAGGATCTGTTTATCGTCGAGAAGTTACTTAACTGTATACTTTAGGTAACCGTAAAACGTATACTATACGCGTTAACGAGGGGTGGGGTGGGCAGCATAGGCAGATGCACGCCGGCGAGCTTATCCGTCAAAATATTTTCTACAAAATTCAATATTCAACTGGAAGTATCGATACCGTTAATTTTCAGACTAAGATAATATAATGGCAATATTGGTTAAATAGGACAATAACTATGCGGGCAATCTATTTTCAAGTACACAAGAAGTTTATATGCCGTAAACTTTGACCGATCAAGAACGATACGGTTTGCCAATGTCCAACACTCCTTTGCTTCGTCTTAACTTCGTCTTGTCGTGTTCTTTCGATTGGGTCTATCGTAATGCTGTTAATCGTTTTGGTCCGGTTTAATTTGTAATTTGTCGCTTCGAATTTTTCATGAAGATAAAAATAAAATACGATTTTTTTTCTAATCTATCAAAACATTCGCGTTTAAAACGATATTAAATACATTTTACGACTCATCTAGCTGTTCGTATAATCATAGCTTGTGACGGTTGTGTAGATACATCGATACAATATACAATTAATAAGCAAATGTAGGTGTTCAAAGCAAATCAAATAAACGACCAAATATAATCGTACGAATTATCAAAAAATACATCGAATTATAAATAATTAAACGATCTTAAATCCGCGTATTACGTTTGTTGAAAAACGTCCGACATTTATATAATATGATCGGTTTTTTCGTATATCTTGGCGTTTTTCGCGATTCAAAATCCACGGGGTCGGAACAAACGGAACTCGGACAAACGGCCCGTGAATCCACGACCTATCGAAATATTCTAACTTCTTTATATAGGCTATAACCGCGTGGTGTTCAGTATGCGCTTTCTTTTCGAGTCCGCCGTCTATTGTACCGATTGTTTAAAATATTTTTCATAACCAGATTCAGCAAACACCGAATTTTTTCGGAAAATCAATTTACGCGAATAAGTCCTTGGTTAGTAGGTTAAATGTTGATATAAAAATAATTTATATAAGGCTCGGGTAAATACTCTATCTTACAGTGAAAGTCTCACAGAAATCGGTTCATCCGTTTCAGAGATAAGCTCGGACAGACAGACAGACAAACACTTTAATTCTATTTATATGTGTATAGATTGTATTTAAAAAAAAAAAAAAAAATTAATGGAAACAATAACTAATAAGTCACTAATTTTTGATTTTGATTTTTAAATACCTACTTCTCAGATTCATATAGACAAAAAATCAAAAGAAATATGCCAAAAAGATATTTTTGTCCCGTTATGAACTCATTCAGGCCCACCATGCGATGGGGTGAGGATGGAGAAAGGACATCTACGGAAAAAAACGAGAGTCAAAAAACGTCGCCCCGGAGCTGGCACACGAGGGAGGGGGGACAGGCAGAAAGCATTGTCGCTGTGGTCATCGAGGCGACGAGGCGCGTAGGACAGTAATAATTATTATGACGGACCGGTGGCGGTATGTTTTTTTATGCTTTTTTTTCCCCCGTACGTAAACGCCGTAAATAATACACCTAAATTACACGTGCACGATACAATAATATTAAAAATATGCGCAGAGACGCGATATTATTTTAATGTCCCGTTGGATACCCGCCAGTTTCTTAATGTACGAAATTAAAATCGTGCGTAGGTACGTTAACATAACGTTTTTTATCATTGTAGTATTGTAAAATTCGCGATTTTTTTTGGCGTTCCGTTTAATGTTTGCGGTAGCCCGAACAAACAAAACGAACGAAATACGTAAACGTATAACAATAATTTCGCTCGAGAAAATATTACGCCGGTCTTATTATCGCCGTTTCCGTCATCCGGGCGTGGACAGATAAAACAAAATTAACGAAAAAAGACATCTGAGGATAATAGGAACGGGTACAGCCACTGTTATAGGTAATTTATCGTATATCCGTTAGCAATGATTAACCATCGTAAACGAAAAAAACGATTCTGAGCGGAGTTGCTTTGTCAATAATATATGTATATAAATACATCATATATTATGGTTAAATAATCGCGAAGGCAATATACATTTTATTTAAAGCTATTTGTTCAGTATTGTACCTGTTTTACCGTTTTTCCTGGAATTCCCATTTATTGGGAAATCTGATAAGAAAATTAAAAATGACCTCACTAAAGTACCTCCCCAGTCAGATTCCCTTTTAGAAAAATCGATATCATTGAAATCGGAACTTGATCTCTGATAGAAAAGTTGATCGTAGAAAAAAAAACAAATAATTATCCTTTTTTTGTAAAGCCATAAGCTTCTACGGTCCTCTCAGTGTTTAAAAGAGCGCAGGACGTCACGTAATTTCGGGGCCGACCTTGAAAATTTTATCGTTGTCCGAACGCGAATGCTCAACGAAAAAACGAATTTTTAAAAG